GAAGTACTTCCTTTTATCTGTTCTAACCTGACTGCCCAGCAATTTCATGGAGTGCCCACGAGTTCTTGTATTGTGAGAAAGGGAGAAAAGTACTTCTTTCTCAACCTGCTCTATCCCATGCATAATCTTATAAACCTTGATCCCTGCAACCCCAGACCTGTGACATTATGGCCCCACTCTTCACTACAAGGTGTGGAACTTGCACCTCATGGCGTGGCTGCTGAACTCCCCAGATTAGGGTTTTTTTTGGAACAGGTTCAAAAAATCCTTAATGCTAGGTAGCCTTCGACTAGGGCTTCTATGCCATCAAATGGAAACATTTCTCTATTTGGGCAATATCTAAGGGAGTAGCTGCTGATTCTTGCCATCTGCCTTTAGTTTTTGGTTACCTGTGGTCCCTTAAAGCATCTGATCTCTCAGTCTCTTCCGTTAAGGTACATTTAGCAGCCATATCTGCCTCACGTATATTGGTGGAGAGAAAAACCCTGTTTTCTCACAGGTCTTTCTGTTCATTCCTCAGAGGGACTAGCTACCATGTTTCCACCTTCACCACCCATAGTTCTCTAGTAGATGTTATCCTTAGTTCTAGCCCAGCTGACTACAGCATCATTTGAACCTATGACTACCTTTTCTCTGGAAGCGTTATTGGTAAAAGTCCTCTTTCTGGTTGCTATCACATCACCCAGGAGGGTGGAGGAATTGACAGCCCTTAGGGCAGACCACCCATTTATAAAGTTCCACTCTGAAAAGACACTGCAAAAGTTAGATGCTTGAAGGGCTTTATTATACTATTTACACAGAACAAAACCTTTCAGAAAATGGGTGTGATTGAGTGTTATTCAGGCCCCTTTTAAGGTAGAGCTGCTTCCTCCCAAATCACCTCTAGGTGACTCATAAGGGCGATCTGATGGTGCTACTATCAGGACAGGGTGTCATGGAGTGCTGGGGAATTGAGGCGCTCCTCCGTCCCGATGGTTCTGCCGCTGAGTGTCCGTATGGATCTAGAGCCGCTGACCGGGACAAGCGTTGGAGATCGAGCATTTTGAACGTGGGCCGAGCGAGGTCACATGACCAACAATGAACTGTGAGTTGGGTCAAAACGAAATGAGAATTTAAAAAGAAAGTTACC